ATTTTCATTAAAAAGGTAAAACATGAACCAATCACAGAAAGACAAATGTCTCTAGAGTTTTTAATAGATTTTTTTTCAGGGTGGTTTACTAGAATGACCTTGTCAAGCAAAGATTTGGATTAGAATGACCTCTATCTTTGAATATTATTAGAATGACCTTGAAAAAATTTTATTTCCTATGTTAACCTTATTTCATTTGAAGACAAAAAACGTATTTACGAAACTGCCATTAATGAAGCAGAAATTTTTTCCCGCCAAAATTAAATAAGTCTACCATTCTGTTACGGTAAACTTATTAAACGTCTGGTAGACTTATTACGGTGTACGCGATGGTAGACTTATTTATAGTTGTGATAGATTTATAATATGTGGTAGACTTATTCGTAGTACTGGTAGACTTAATTTTGGGATCGGTATACTTATTTGTAGTAGTGGTAGATTTATAAAGTGGTCGGTAGACTTATTACGGTGCAGGCAGTGGTAGACTTTTTTATAGTAGTGGTAGACTTATTGTAAGTAGTGGTAGACTTATTGTAAGTTGTGGTAGACTTATTGAGTAGTTACGGTAGACTTATGCGTTGTAGTGGTAGACTTATTTATAGTTGTGGTAGATTTATTTTTGAGTGATAGACTTATTAGTGGTTGTGGTAGATTTATTGTTGTGATTGGTAGACTTATTGATGGTTCGTGCGATGATAGATTTATTTATAGTTATGGTAGATTTATTTGTCAGTGATAGACTTATTAGTAGTAGTGGTAGACTTATTGATGGTTTGCGCGATGGTAGACTTGTTTATAGTAGTGGTAGATTTATAAGATGTGGTAGACTTATTTGTAGTACTGGTAGACTTAATTTTATGATCGGTAGACGTATTTGTAGTGATGGTAGATTTAATTTTTTGATTGGTAGACTTATTGATGTTTAGCGATGGTAGACTTATTTATAGTAGTGGTAGATTTAATATCTGATAGACTTATATTTAGTGGTGGTAGACTTAATTATGGTTTCGCCCTATGGTAGACTTGTTTAAAGTTGTGGTAGACTTATTAAATTTGGTAGACTTATTTGTCTTTGTGGTAGACTTATTAAATCTTTTCAGAGTTTTACTAGAATGACTTTACTTAATTACAGTTGTGGTAGACTTATTTATAGTAGTGGTAGATTTATAAGATGTGGTAGACTTATTTGTAGTACTGGTAGACTTAATTTTATGATCGGTAGACGTATTTGTAGTGATGGTAGATTTAATTTTTTGATTGGTAGACTTATTGATGTTTAGCGATGGTAGACTTATTTATAGTAGTGGTAGATTTAATCAATGAAGGACAAAATCGTAATTTACCCTTCATCTTCTCCAACACACCCAAACTTATGTCAAACTCTAACAATGGCGGCCAACTCATTTTTAGCTCGTTTTTGCTGTGTTTTAATTTGTTTTCAACTGGGTTTAGCCTAAAACTAGTAGATCTAACATCATATATCCATTTTCTAACAAACAATCAAAAGA